TCACACAGTGACTCTCCCTCCCCTTTCCTGGGTAGATCAGCTGGTGGAGCAGAGCATTTTCCTTACCCCACTTTTGCAGCTTAGCGCTACCATAAGCCGTTGCAGCATGTTTATAGCATCCAGCATTTTCCCATCTGGCCCTCCCTAAGCTGCTCATCCAGAAAGCAGAAAGCATTAAAAGAAAAATGTAATGAGCGTAAGCAAAATGGCAAACCTGTCTGGGTCGTTGTTTCCTACGGCTGTCCCCTCCTCCCCTGAGGCTCCCTGAGAGCCGGCAGCACCACCAAACTGCAGCAATGTTCCCCGGGCAAAACCAGGGAAGGAGCAGACGTGGTACCAGGTTTGCTCTGAGTGAACAAATGAAATCTTCTTCAGTGGTGGGAAGTAATTTGCCCACTAACTGGGCCTGGATTGCACTGAATTGGAGCAAATGGCACAAGTGCGAGGGCATGTCGGGCGCTGGCCCAGTGGCAGGTAGTGAGAGTGAGGTTAATTACTCCGCTCGATTTTAGCCCATCATGCTCTAAGAAGGGGAATAAACTTCACTGGGAGAGGGACAGGGGGCGGGAAGCCAACTGGTTTGTGGAAGAGAAAAGCCTGTTCCTTTAATCTATTTGAAAGCTTTTGGTACATCAAAGTTCTGGCAAGAAGAGATGTCTTTGATATGTAATTGGTGTGGACACTTGCAAAGATTTTGATAAAGACTTTTGTGAAAGAGCTATTTGTGAGAGGCAAAGAAGGGTCATGGGGTCATGGGTTAGGCACTAGCCAAGAAACAAAAGCCCCAAAAGCAGGATGAGGACTGGGCAAACGTCACACAGCTCCATACCCCAGCCAGCAGCACCCCCCGCCCCAGGGCTGCTCACCACACACCACAGACGAGGCACCCCTGACAACAAAGCCCAACCAGGGGTGACAAGGACTGCCAAAGGCACCACCAAAGCCAGGGGAATGGACCAGAGATGGGGAAAAGGTTTCCCCCATGGACACAGCCTGGGTAAGGCTCCCTGGAAAGAAGGGGGTGATGGTTGTGAAAACCAGGTAAGTCCAGATCAGCTGTCACCTCTCAAAGAAAAAACCGAGCTAGGGCCACAGGCAGCTCGCCACAGTCCACCACTGAGGGTCGCAAATATATATCATTATCCAAAAAATTCCTAAACAGATGAAGAACAGAATTGGATAAAGATCAGGAGAGAAAGTAGCAGGGAACTGTGTCCAAATGCTTAGACAGGAAGGAAGAGAAGGTCCTCTTCTGGCATCACTGTCTCTCACCAACTCCCAAAGGACACATCAAAAAGAGAGGAGGGGAGCGTTTCTAAGATGGAAAAGTAAGAGGGTTAGAAATAGAGTCTAGCTAGAATTGAAATTATTTTAATTTCTACATGAAGTGAGTAAAAAGCAACATAACAGCAGTATACAAAATAACGAATGGCACAAAGAAGGTACATATAAGTACTCCTATTTACACTTTTCACATAAAAAGAGAACAAAGGGACAGTCAATAAACCTGAATGGCAGCACATGTACAAGGATAAGCAAAATACTGTTGTTCTAATGCACTGTGCATAATCACCCAGGGAGCTCCCTGTTCCAAAATATTGCTAAAATCACAAATGCAGAGAGACTTGCAAGAAAGGGACAGGAATGTACCTGAAAGAAAAGAACATTTGCATTTATATTTGCTGTATGTGAGTTACATTAGCAGTGAGCAATAATTTGGGTTTTTGAGAGAAATTCTCATACAAACAAGAATAAATAGGAGTGGGGCAAAGATCTCCATGGGCAGATTATTGCCTTCTGAGGAATGTCTTTTCCCTCCTTCCTCTGAAGCATTTATGTTGGCTATTGGCAGCAGGCAGTGACTGCAGAAGACAAACTGCTTCTTATCCCCTCTGGCTCCCTCCTGCAGCAAGGCCAGAGCACTTTCCCACTGCTCCATCCCCATGCATCACCCAGAGACAGGGTTGTTCACCTTCCCTCCCCGCAGCCACCTTGCGGGTGGAGCAGCTGGCAGGGCCAGCCCGTTGTGCTGCTGCCACCAGCCTCACTTCCTGCAGCCACCTCCTTGAAGACCATTGTAGTTTTGGAGTGTCTGGCTTCAGGACTACCAACTGGCATCATGGGAAAGCCTAAACCCAGTTCCCCAGGCTGGGGTGCAGCAGCAGTGGGTGGGGGCTGCCTGAGAAAAGGCAGCTGCTCAGGCGGGTGCCGAGTCCCAGCTTGTTTGTTCCTTGTAGCCAAGGAACATTTCACATCCTCAGCCATATGTGACTGAGGGAGGCAAAAATAATCTTGCCTTTTTTTTTTTTTCATTGACATGCAGTGATAACTCCCCTATTCACTGTTGAAATGAGCCGAAATTAATCTTGGTAACAATTCTGCCTGGTGATGGGAATGCATGTATTAGTGATACACATCAGCACACTTTCAGGGGCGATGCTACCTGGATAAATACCAGTGAAGGTCAGCAATGGAGAAGTGGGGTGGGAAATTACTTGAGAAAGCATCCCTGAATTTAAATAGAGCCAAAAATTGCAAAACTGCATTTGTGGAAATCTTCCTTTTCATGGCCTCTCTAGTCTGCAGTAGAGTTGTCTCAGATTTGAGACAAGAAGCCCAGGCCTTGACTGTGCCCACAAAGTTAAAAATAAAAATAAGTCACCTTGCCTTAATCTCCCTCTTTGCGAGGTTCATGTCCTTGCACACAACTCAGAGCACAAACCATCCTTTCCCTGACTGCCGCCCGTTCCCAGAGGATGGCACCCCTGTTCCCAACCTCTTTGTAACTCCCTTGCAGCACTCCCTCACATTAGCTTTTCTCATCCTCACAGGCACATCCAGAGTATTCCCTCACCAAAACACATCAGTTAGAGGAAGCAGTTGCTGTTTTCCCCTCTGCAACCCCAACTTCCAACTTGCTACCTTCTGCAGGAGATGTGGCGGCCTGAAGCTGGCAGAGTAGGGCACCTTCTGCCCAACGCCTCCAGCCCCTCTGCCAGACAAGCACCCAGCTGAGCCACAGCCCGTCATGATAACAACTTTAATGTCCCACAGGCTGGCTCTGACACCTGGAGACGACAGGGGCAGCCTTTCCCATATGGAACTGAATGCATGAAGTGGATATAAAGAGACCTTATTTTTTGCCAGTTCGGTTTGGGTTTTTTTTTAAGACTTTATTTTCTAACATGCTTGACCAAAAATTACAACAACAATCAAGTTATGCCAAAATGATTAAATAACCTTTAAGCTTTCATACCTCAAGTACTTTAAATGATATTTTGAAGTAACAGCTGCTTTCATATCCTTTCCACATAAAAATACACAGTATTTTGAAGATACCTTAGGAAAAATTATTTTTAAGAGAATAGTTTATGGTCGACATAGAAATTTTGTTGAGGCTAATAAAAGGACCTCTTCCCCCCACTTTAACATTTTAGTCTCTTAAGTGCCATGAGTGAATGTAAACATTTCAGACTTCTTTAACATACAGCCAATTTCCTGCCATATTTGTTTCAAACTGCTTGAATTGTGACTAGCTAAGACACTTTTATTCTAACTACACGCTATTGCTCATCTTCCCAATGATGGCAGGAGTTCATATTCAGCTATGAACTTCAGTCCTTGCTGATTTAAGAGCTGATCCTGCAATTTCTACACCAATAGTTTTGACAAAAGTGGTCCCATCTGAATTCACGGGAGACTGCTCATGCACTTGTGAACTATTCACCCAAAAACCAGTTGCAGGTGCCACCGATTGTTTTGAAACGAATTCAGGAAAAAGCAGCAAATTATTTTAGACCCCAAGTCACCCAACAGCTTACAATAAATGACAGACCCATGACTTGTTATGTTCTCTGGTAATCTGGTGGTTTCTGGTGGGTCCACAGCATGAGTTACGTTACTGGTCTTGAATGTCATTGCTCCCAGTTGAATGTCACTGCTCCCAGCAGCAGCTGGAAGAGCTGCTGCTCATGGACAGCCAGTGAAATGTGATGTTTCTGCCTACCTCGCTTAGAGTTCAGGCTGACATAGCCTGGTTTTGCAACACAGGTATTTTAAATTGTGTATGCTTATGATGTACATGCAGCTGCTACGTGAAGCTCACATTTACATTCGTGTATCAGGCAAAAAGTAACATACACAAGTATCCACTGCATGTGTGCAGAAGTGGGCTATGCACACACCTGCAAACCACACTGTATTGGTAGTGCGATGATCTGCCCAATGTGTGTGAATAAGATTATTGTCTAGATGCCATCAGCTCCAAATTCAGGATGTCCACATTCAGAATACAGCCATTAAATTACCTCCATCAAGGCAAAAAGGTTCCTCTTTGATCATGGAGAAGTTTGGTTGTTCAAGGCAAAACCTATTTCTTGTAGGGCATGTTTCAAGCACTTTTTTTTGGTGGGTTTGTAATAGATTTTCAAACTTCTGCCTAGGATGGGACTGGCATGGCAGCATCTTCAACACCTCTGTTAACCTGCAGGAAAGCTGCATAGTCAGTACTAGCGTTGGCCATCCCAACCAGCTCCTGACACGTCCCCTGCTTTGCCTGGTAACATGCAACACGACAGATGGATTTCAACTTGGTTGATGACGGTGTCTTGGGCCTCTCACAGCAGTGTCCATGAGCAGGCAAAGAGCAATGACAGGTTTTGGGAGGTGACCCTGCTCACCCTGCTCTGTACCCATTGGTATGTAGTCATCACATTTATGCTACTACATAGCTACCCAAAAGTGAATGCCCAAACTCCACCTTGAGGTGACCCCCTCCCCTTGACATCCATAGTATTCTCCAGGACAAAAGGATTACAAGGACATTTAATCACTTCTGACTGGGGCCAAATTCAAACCAGTAATTCAAATTCAAACTCATCATTGGCTGCATGTCCCATTAACAGGTTTTAAACAAATGGTCCCAGTGGGTTTTATTTAAAATAACACTAATGAACATTGGGTGGGGTTTTGGTGGGGGTTTTGTGGGGTTTTTTTGCTTTTTACATACAATCGCATATCGCCCTACCATATGAAAACACAGTTACATTTTTTTCTTCTTTTTTATTTTTTTTAAGGGAAATGTCATCCTTTTTGTCACAGCTGAGTCCAGGTTACAAATTCCTGAGTTTATACTGCACTTTAACACAGTTTCCCTTCTTGAATGTTGAGCTGTTTACAGCATGCCGGCAATATGCACATTTCCCTTACCATCTGTAATGCCAGATGTAGTAAAACTTCATTTCAGTACAGTGAATTAGGGCCTCTATTGCATTAGTTCTGAATAGATGCAAAGACTTAGACCTGGAGGACTTGAAGTAATAGCTTTCCTCCTGTGACTGGTCATTTGTGCACCATCTTTTACACGTGCCATGTTAATTAAGGGAAAACATTTTTACCATCATTTTTCTTTTACCAAGAGCTCACTGGGAAACATCTGAAATGAGGAAATACTAGTCTAAACACTTAAGTTTAAACTGCAGACTTTCTTAAAGAAACACTCCTTTGAAAGACATTGTTCTTTTAATAAGTCCAATATATGTACGGTATATACAAAAGTCCCTACTTGATATATATATATGTATATGTATATATATGTGGAATGCATTCACTTTTTTGTGTTCACAAATATTTTAATGGTGAAATGTTAGTCTTTAATCTGTTTCTGGCACCAAAATGTCTTTGTTCCTCATCCACTTTTGTCACTCAAAATTTATCTGTGAAGAGCTAGCAGGGAAAAAAGAAGAAGGTTTTTGCTTTTTTGTTGAATGGTTCCCTACTGGGATTCTCAGCCAGCAATATAAAGTTGCTAATGTGTTGGGCACAACTTTAAATCCTCATTATAATCATGTGTTCCTTGGAGTAGGTAAGTCAATAACTATAGGTGGATTAAGTGGCTGGTAATTCACAGTGCACACAGATGCATTCACATAGGTAGTAGTTCCATCAGCCATGACACCATAACCTACAACGAAAGAAAAACTCTGGTTAGTCTCATTATTCTTTATTATTATTTTTTTAATTTTCACCTTTATCACACAAGTGCCACATTTATTACTCAGAAGGAATTTAAAAATTCTCTTCATGCAAAACATAAAGGTCTCCTGAATTAATACCATCTTTGTCCTAGAGCGGAACTTTTTGCCATCTTTTAAATTGTGTAAGAAAAGCAAAATGGACCCTCACTACCTAGTGGTTACAATCTCTGGCAGCCAGCTAGCCAAACCTCCTTAGAAAGACAGATATTCTTATGTGCAAAGCTTTTTTCATAAAACCTTCTCAGTTTTGCAAAGGATGAGAAGACAGAGCATAGGCAATTACAGCATTGAAGAAAACATACTTCTCTGATCATTTAGGTTTGCAATCATCAGTGCAGCAAACTTTGGGCAATTTTCATCTTTCCAGCTTTTTTCTGTCCTGTGTTGTACATCTTTTAAGCAACCAATGAAGAAAAAGCTTTGTCTAAGGAGAGTATGTGTGCGTGTGCCCCTGGGTGGGATATGCCTAGTAAGGAACCTTTTCTTCCCGTGTGTTTGAACTTGTTGACTGATCTCAACCAAATTTGATGGAAAGACACTAAAATGCCTGCCCAAGCAGATTAAAAAATGGCTTTATTAATACACTGCCTGACAGACGAGGTGAATTTACACCCTAAGACACCATAACATTTCCACGGGAGAAAACGCTCTTCTGTATGTCTCACCAGTGGCAAAAAAACCTTTAACTACATCTCATGTCTGACTAGACACCCAAGCCAAACAATTCCAGAGCTAAATGGGCAGAAAATCAAACTTCCAGCTCTAATGCCTGTAGAAATACAGTGGAATGCTGTTTCAGAAAGTGCAGAAGCCCTTTAACTGCCCTGGTGCTATGAAAAAGCCACACACTCTCCATTGTCAAAAATCTTTTCATGAACGACTAGAAAAAACATAAGCTTGATTACACTAAAACTAAAAGCTTAATGTTGGAAACTTGTATTGAAATACTAAGATAAATATGAAGAAATGCATTCACAATCAGAAATATATTATTTTGGAGAAAACAGGTGGTAGAAAGCATTTGTACTAAGATTCAATCTTGCCATTAATATGGAAATGTATTAATTGCTACATACACCGAGTTCTGCCTATTGATATCCTAGGTACCTAGAATAGTACAGTTTTTCTGAGTGCAATTTCATGTCTTATACAAGCATTGTTAGGTGCAGAATTTACAAACAAAGAAACAGTAGCCAAATTCCTTTCTTTTTTGTTCCTTAAAATACCCTGAATAATGCAGGGCCTCCTGGACTCCCTATGGAAAAACGAGACTGTAATTAGGGACTAGGGAGCGAAGAAAACTCTGTCAGGTTCCTGTCACAGACATTTCTTTAAATCATTTGCTGTTTGCTACAGAACAATTGTTCCATGTAAAACACAAACTGCACGGAGGACAGTCAGCATTGCTGCTGGGACTTTCTGTCTCCTCGGCTACATGTTTGGAGAGAACAGAATCAGCTTGCTAATGCAGTCCTTTTGCTGGAGGATTCCTAATGGGTTTTCACTCCTACCCTACTGCCAACAGAGTTTCCTTGGCCACAACCTCAGCCAAGTGCTGTTTTTAATGGGCAAGTAAGGATTTTAGCCGGAGTCCCTGCCACACTGCTTGTCACTTCCAGAGGTCGATCAGCAGCAAGCCCACGTGTAGAGGTATTTTTTGGCAGAGACTGCAGTGCAGACAGGGAATAGGGAAGAAATATCTCTTTGAAGCATTCTTTCCTCCTGGATGTTCAATAAATGACTGCTGCAGACGTAGCTATGCTCAGTCAGGGGAGGAACTCATCTGTTCAAATCATGCATTCTCTCTACAAAGAGCAGCTTCGTTTGCACAGGCTGTCTGCAATGGGAATTCTCCTCTGCAGAGATTTAGCATCTCACTGCAAAACAGGCTCCGCAGTTCCCCATTTGTTTTCTCTAAACTATGATAGTTAACAAGAAGAGTACCTAGTTTCTGTGTTCTGATGCCTTGCTGTGCCAATTGTATTAATTCACAAGATTTACCATTCTGGGGAGCCGACACCCTTTACCCTGGGAACTGAAGTTGTGCTTCGTCTTAGCAGATGTGATTTTGTCTACCTGCCTGAAGCTTCATGGCTTGCTAAGTGTTTGCTTATAAACCCTGCAGCCCACTTGGCTTATGATTTCTGAAAAGACAATGAGTTTGAACTGTATTCACCAGCACTCTTGTGCAGAATCTTGAAGACTGCTACAATAGCAAAGGGTTGAGAAAAAATACTGCCTATGTGTCGTTCGTTTACTCTGTGATGTAACAGCACCATGGACATTAATGAGGCACTAACCGGTCAGTGCAGATGAGACGTGAGGAGAATTGACTTAATCCCTGAGCTGTAAAATAATGATCTGAATATCTTCTCTGTCAATTTTACACTAGCACACCTCTCACCAATGTCACTCCTAACCTAGCATGGTAAAAGCGCCCAACAGCAAGTCAGAGTGGGATTTCTTGGGAAGGGTAACATTTCTTCACAAAAACAGAAGTATCTCAGTGCCAGGTATTCCAGTTTTGCTGTTTGTTCATTTCTACACTGGTGAGACCCACAGGTACCCTTCAAAGGCTGGAGCAGTCCCAGAAGCAGAAAACTGGCAGTTATGAAGCACCTTTTCCTGCCAGTAAGTTAACATTGCCAAGAACTAAGCAGCTGATAATACCTGCTTACAGGCCAATGGTACACTTCTGCACAGCCCAGTGGTTTCTTTTGGTAGGGACATGGCTTGAAGTCTTGCTGCCATGATATGTGAACAGGAAAGACTTGTCTATGGCAGACAGCATCTACCTTTCCCTTTGCCTGGAGATGCACTCCTACTGCCATTGATTTCAGTGGAGCATATTTGTCAGTATTTACTGACTTATGTGAAGGGAACTAATTTTTTTCCAGTTACAAATCAAATAGTCAAGAGAACCACTTTTTTTTGTCTGGGTACAAAATCTTTCCCCTGCCAAAGCAAATAAATACATGAATAAATATCTTGAACTTCTACACAAGTCAGTGGTGACATCCCTCTTGATTTGAACTTCATATACACACTGATGGGGAGAGACAACCTTCATTGTACAATCTTGAGATTAAGCCTTAGAAGCAACCCCCAAAGCATTCTTACCCATTTTACAAACACAGAAATGGAGACACACAGAGCTTACATGAATTATCTTAAGTCACAGAGATTCAGCAGAGGAAAATACAATCCACTCATCAATCCTAATATTTAGTCACTTTCTGTAACTACTGGACTTGTGTTCTTATTTTAAAATTCACAGTAATCCTCCCTGTGAGGGAGGCATCACCCTGTTTTATAGATGTAGCAACTGAAAGATAAGCTGAAGTGCAAATATTGAAATGTGGGTATCAGCCAATTTCATCTCTATATATGCAGCTAAAGAAGTATCTGAATTCCAGAAGTGCTTCAGTTCAGACATTCAAGTTTGAAAATGCTAGTTACACCAGACAACTTCTGTATTTGTGGTTTTTAAATATATATAGAAAGAAATGAGTTCTGACCTTCATGGATATGTCCAAAAACATGAAGCCTTGGCTGTATTCGTCTCTGGACTGTGTTCAGCAGCTCAACACATCCTACCCGTTGCATTTTCTTAGGAACCCAGTCTAGAAAACCTTTGGAAAAGAAAGGAAAGCTTGAAAAGACAGGTTATCTGCAAAGCTGTACTGCTATACGGTATTTCTGAGATTTCATGTCTCACTGCTTTTCATAAGCAGCCATAGAAGAACTGACATGAAAAAAAGAGTCTTTGGCTTAGTAAGTAGAAAAGGAAGGAGGGAAAAATGCTAGAGGAAAACCATAAAAGCTCAACCAAAGAAAAAGGTCTGTGATAACTCTTGCCATTTGTTTTTCAAGGAAAAAAAAAAAATCAGTGCAATTAAAGCATTTTTGCACTGCTGTTAATGGGAAAACTCAATGCTTTATCCATTCTTCTTCCTTTAAGAGAGTGAGGTGTAAAGAATGGTATGTCCAAAATGAGTCTCTAAAAAAATCTAAATTAACATTTAGCTCTTTAAATCTAGTCCTGGCATCTAGTTTTTAAATTCAAACACTTTAACTGATCTTTAACTGATGTAATGGAATCTGTGTTGCTAATAATAAAACTATATTGTTTTCACATTGAATCTTACAGTAGTGGAACTCAGGTAAGGAACCTACAGCATGACTAAAAACACCCTCAAGTAAAACTGGTTTAAGTGCTTCAGGACACAGCAAGCCTCACTAGCCTGAATCTATGGACCTCAGATAGGAAGAGAAACTCAACCCTTCTGCAGTAGATGTTTCTAAGTGCTACATTTACTTGCAGGAAGTTTGTATAAAAATGCATTTTTTATGAACACAGACAAAAAAGTACACTGACTTGCTTCTATGTCTAAAAACATACTGCAGGGTGATGCTTACTGCCAACTGAAGTCTCATGTTTCCTTCAAAGTAGTATAAGAAGGATATTGTTGTATTAGAGGGTTAGCAATAACCAATCTCATGTTCCTTCTATTGTTCTACCATTTTCATCAGGCTCAAATCTGGAAACCTAGAAGATACAATCATTCCGTTTTTCTTTGGTTGTTCTGGTGCTTTCCCTGTGTGCCTGTCATAGCTTTGTATCTCTGATTGCTGCAATAGTGTGAATCTATTGTGCCTTTGAGAAAACAATAGTTAGTCAGAGGGGTATAGAGTCTGCACCTAGTTTTCATACATTCACTTTTGAGTTCTGCTCAAGCATGGCTAAATAGCAGCTAACCAACTGGCTTGAAAGACCAGAACTGTGGTATTGAAGCTTTTGGAAAAGCTCTCAGATTTGCTAGAGCTTCAGGGTAAATTCACACATTGAGAAATACTTCTTAGATGCCACTGCTTGAAAACTGGGCTCAGGATATTTTGGGTTTTTAAGAAAATGGTGAGAATTTGCCCTTGTATCATGGTTACTCAGAGAGCTAAGTCAAATTTTTGGAAAGCAGTTGGGAATGCAGCATCCTAAGTGTCAGAAAAGAGGAAGTTCTGATAATGACCAGAGACTCCTAACTCATTCAGATGCCTCTGAAGACACCGCTTGGCTCCTGCTGGGAGGATGTATAAAGAGAAAGCTTCGCTGAATTACAGAAAGAACAGAGCAATGCTCAGCTGTGGTAACTGATTTTACCACTCGGTATCCAGCACAGGTCAAAATTCACTGTAGGAAACAGTAAGTATTTAAGATGTCAAAGTGCGGCCAGCAACTCCTCTGGAATCCCGTCATGCTTTTTTTCAGAGCAAACGTGTTATAACCATAGGTTTTGCTTGTTACTTCAATGATTTGAAACAGTTAATTGCCAAAATGGCTGTGGTGAACATAAAGCCAGAAGTATTTCCACTTCAAAAACTTCACAAACAAAAATCCATAAAATTAACTTCTCCATTAAATTAAGCATTATTTATGTTGAACATGTTTTTGTTTACATGCATTATCACCCTTCTAAAGCTTTCCCATATGTTTGCAGCTTATTATGTACACCTGACTACACAAACTAAGAGTAATTGATTACACCTAGCTAACAATTAGAGTTCATCTTAGGGTTTTTTTAATGTTTGGTTACTTGAAACAGGTTTCTGCAGCTGTCAGGAAAGTATAAATCTTTGTCACAGACAATCAAGCAGACAGCTACAAATGAAGACTTAAAAGGTGAAATTAAATTTTAAAAAATTTAAAAGAAAGAAAAGAACAGTTAACTTTTTGAAGATAAAAGAATCATAAATGCAGATCTTTAGGAATCAGGGAAAAGATTTTAGAAGTTATACTACACATAAAAGTAACAAAAATACGCTGATATAGAAATGAGCATTAGCACTAATCCCTTAATCATGAATACTATATTTCATAAGCTATACAATACATGGCATATCTTTATTAATAATAAACAGGTTACTAATAAATTGGTCAATAACAGCTGATTTAACTTTTGTTTTCTCATCATGTGTGAACCTCCTATGTATCCCTGCCCTGATTTCATCCCAAAGCACTACTCTAAAACAGAAAAAAAAAAAAATTACTCACATATGTGTTATTTGCCTAACTGACTTAGAAACACAAAGTTCATTAACTCTTAATAGTGCTTCTGCATCTAAATCATGTAGGCAATTTAAAATCTATCTAATAATGTAGTACGCATTAGCTTAGGAGGATGCATGCTCTTTTGAAGTGAGGGAATGAGAAAACAGCACAGAAAATGGATGATGGACAGAATTTAGGCAACCATGCTGGAGAAAAAGGAATTTGCAAGAGCACTGACTGCTATTTATGATCATTAAGATCAGCTCTAGTGATGCTGTCCAAGATCAGAACAACAGTAATCAGCTTTCTGGTTAAAATAATTGCCTGGGAGGGTCAAGGAGGATCCTGTCTCCCAAAATGTGTACAGAGCTACAGAAAAAGGAGGTTCTGTAAGTTAAGCAGAGTGATCATTTCTTTTGAAGCATCATATATTTGTTGCCATGGGTGTCAGGGAGACCAACAGCTGATGCCCTCAGGCAGAAGATTCTGTGCCTAAGCCAGCTATTAATGCATCAATAAGGAAAAGAGAAAGAAATGGGAACTTTTAAAAAAGAAAATCCTTGGAGGATGGTAAAACCTTGAGAATCAAAAACATTAGAAAACAAATACAGAGACATAGAGATGGGGGAATTTTTGTTACTCCATTACACTCAGTGGAGATGGGTGTCTCTTCCTCAGAATTACTGCAATTATTAAATTGCTTTTCAATTATTAAATTTACTATTAAATTTATTATTAAAGCATGTCTGTTGACTGTCAGCTCTGCAGTGCTCTCTAGAGGTTTTCCTCACTCTGCTGATCCCAGAGGCTGCCTTGAGAAGTCTGGTAGCTAAATTAGCAAGGTTGCTGAAGCCGGGTGGTGCGAACCCCTCTCTCCACCTTCCAACACTGGATTTCATGTGCTAGATACAGGGATATTCTTTGGATCAGCTTTACAGCTGATCATCTGTATGGCTTTAAAAGTGCTGAAAAAGCTTCTGAAAAAGTTTTAAATACAACTTATAAATAAAACTATAGCAAAGACCCAGCATCATGCCTTGGATCCTAACAGCGATTATCCCCAGTACTAACCATTCAGAGCTGGTATCTCAAGATCTAAACAATTAATTTCTGCCATCCACTTTTACAATACATGGCATGGCATGAGACTCCACTTAGGTGAAGTATCAAAACACACGCCCTTACTGTGAGAACCCTTGCTTACAAAGAAGCCCTTTCCCCCAGGATTAGTGAGCAGTGGAATGCAAACATGTCTTTCTAAAGAAAACCACAAAACACAAACCCTTTAGATACTTTCTCCTCCAAGCTCTGAAAGAGGAGAAGAAAGGGCTGGAAGACAAGAGGGTTTTAGCTTCAGGAAATTGGGGAATCTAAAGGTTTAAAGAAACCAATTGCCTTCATCTCCCACAAAGCACTTCTCCACAGTAAGACTCAGCAGAACACTTAAGTACATGCTTCACTTTTGTGCCCATTTATTAAATTAGTGAGAGTTAGACACATAGTTGCATCAAATAAAGCTTCCTATATGTTAAATACGCTGAAAAACATGTTAAAATCCTTAAGCCTTTACTGAATCTGGATGTGTTTCTGTGATGGTATTATTTCCATAACATGGATAATTTCACTATTATCTAGGAATACAAGAAATCTCTCATGGCTTTTATATCACCTGTATTAATATTTGTAAAATACAAATGCAAAACTATTTCTTATTGGTCTCTTAGTGTTGTCAGATTGCATGAAAGATAGGAGATTTAGCCATGCTGTCCAAAGAACAGAGAAACAATGGCAGCATTTGGGGTTGTGAGGCAGAAGATGCACCAAATCAGCATGATGAGGAAAAATATAAACTCTGGGTACTGTGTGGGAGAATGCTGCTGCAAGGCAGGGAGAAAGACAGTGGTAAAAAAATAAGATCCTAATCCCACTTTTCTCTTCAAGCAGGCTCCATGCCTTAAATCTACTAATTTCACCAGTAGCAGAGTAGACAGATGCACAGGAAAACTAGACCTTGCTTATTTGTAAAGCTCATTAAGGCTTCATGTGTTAAGGCTTTATTTTTTTTAAGCCAATATTTAATTCCCTACCATTGAGCATAGGTAATCATGAAACAGAAAACTGAGCTGAAATCCTGGTGCTGCTGAAATCTGTACGGGTGTTACTTTTGACTTCTGTAAGCCAGGATTGCACTCTTTGTCTAAGGAGAGCCACCAGTTACTGTACAATCATCTGAAACAAACCACTAGGAGCACTAGAGTTTTCTTACCGAGAGGTGGTCCGTGTGTTATAAGAATATCTATTCCATCTGGAATAAGGTTCCATTTCTCTAATAGTGCTTGGCCTCGTGGAAGATTAAAGCCCCAGCCATAAAACCAAGGTTGCCTGCCAAGAGAGGAGGAGAATGTCTTCAGTGCTGCTTCCATGTACTGGTTATCTTACTAAAATATGGAGATTGACTCTCTACTAGCATGTTTGGAGACACAAATAGCATTCATTCATTTTCTTCTTTCTGTGCACAGTAAAACCCTCTTTACATACAACCAGTGTTACTTGTGTGGTAAATCAGTCCAGTCCTTACCACTTTCAGTAGGCAGCATATAGTTAAATATTCACAGTATTCCTCTAACTAGGTGAAAAGTAACTCTTACAAGACCTGGATAGTAAGATCTTCACATCTGGATTAGCATGCTGGACTCCCACAACATCTAGAAGAACAACTGTCTCAGATATCTAAGTATAGATATATGTTTCACATTGACTCCCATCATGTTTGGCCCTCAGCCTCTGACCAACTGGGCAAGGACAGACCCTGGCACAATGACAGATCCCACTCCAAAGTTGCACAAATCATCTATGCTGTTTTGTTTCCCTAATTGGAAGCATTCCATCAGAACAAGAATACCGCTTCTTTTCTTACATATCATTTTCTCCTGTCCTCTGGTGTGTTCACTTGCTTTTAAGTAAGACTTTCCATATTCAGGATTTTTTATAAAATGGGCATTTACATTTATTAAAACGTATTTATGGAGCAGCTCATCAGGGAGCAGTGGGACTGTAACACTGTCAGTCAGAATACAATTTATCTGTATCTTGCTACTCCATTGATTAAAAAATTGTATTTCACAGCAATTATATCACAGTGGTCAATTATGTCTTGCTGACTATGTTCTATGTCATAAAATTGAGGAGTTAGTTTTAGGTTGGAATTTTTTAATAATTTTTTGACTGATGTGTTCTGGCCATATCCGTATTTGGAGAACAACAAACAGGCTGCTGTGATTTAATAAGGTTTATGATAATTGCAGCCTTAGTGTTTATAAATACATATACATCAACCAGAGTTCCCTTTCAGATGTTACTTTGTGGAGGAAAGCTTTACACTCCCTCACCGCATCAAAAGACAGAAAGAATTCTTTCAGATAAATTCTCTGAACTCCACTTTACAATCATGTGTGGCAAAGACAAAAGAAAATGCCCATGAAGCTATTATTCATCCTCTTCCATTACTGATGCTTGACTAACATTTCAAAAATTAGCAAGTCTACAATCTTCATGATGATATATTTCCCACTTTTCTTTTTGGAATGCTGTAAAGCACATGTCTATTGAAAACAGCTTAAAAAATAGAGCTTGCTAAAATATAAAGGGATGTGGCTTACCCGAGGGAAGAAAAGAAAATTCTGCTATAAGGAATGGAAGAAGGGGGCTTTGCAGAACGTTTCCTGCCTTTCTTCCACAGATAAAAAAATCCTCAACTTTTCTAGACAGATGGCTGAAGGGTTTTCTGTGTCCACAGCTAAGAGCTCATCTCCTAGCTCTTCACACAGCACCCTGGGTAACCAGCATCTGGATAAGCAGGTGTCCCAGAGGAAAAAAAAAGGTGAAACTCGTACATCTACCACTGTGATCAGAAATACATCCCAGCCTCCAGAAGCTGTGATAAGCAAGATGAAGGTATGTGAAGAAGAGATGCTGATAGCAGCAGCAATGAAGCAGAAATCTTGTTCTGAGTCAGGTTGCTCAGACCAGGGCGGCTGGCTGAGAAAAAGACATATCCCTGTATCAGGGATATGAAATCACACTTTTCTGGTTTCCTATTCATCTGTATCAGCCCTTCCTCATTGGAAGAACAGCTCCGGGCTCACAGGTACATGAATTCTCACCTTCCTACTGCTGGGGGTGGTAACTCATGGTCTAGTTACGGGCTTATTTTGCAGTAAGCTACCAACAACGTTCCTGTATAATATTGCCATGCAGAACCAAACCACAGCCTGTGGAGTTTATCAGCCTGTCTTTATGTTCAGCTCACCATTG